CAGATGTCCTTAAAGGAGGACTCGTGTTTTCTCTCTCCAACCTCGTGCGTATAATTTTTGCAAGCTAATTTTGTGTGCAAGCATCAAAATAATTGAATGGTTGATGCCCAAAATCTATATAAAACATTTCTATAGATTTGATTTTATAAAGGTTTGAGTTAGGCCACAATAAAAAAAATTGTAGGGGTGTGCGAATATTGAAATTTTCGAATATGAATTGAAGACTAAGTAATATCAGAAAAAAATAGCTTTGAATATAGAATATGTTTCGAATATGTGTGTATCATTAAGAAATAACAAAAGAAAATATGCAAATATTTTCTTTATAACCTTCAAAACCGAAAATTATGTTAACAAATTCAAGTACATGAAGCTACACCTGACTAGGGAGCATATAAACAATGCAACTGGTAACACAGCTATTGTACCTTGACTAGTAATCATTTGTCAACTGTACATGAAAGCAGGCAAAAGGTCCAACTGATAAGTTTTACAAATTGACAAACTGAAGAGTGTACAAAACTGCACATGTCTAGATAGCAAGTAAAAATGAAACCTGAAATGTTGTTACACAAACAACTGGTAATAAGCTTTATTAAGAAAATAATTAAAATTGCCCTTTACTAGCCAGCAAGTTCGGTATCAGCTGGTAATGCAATTATTGCGAATAATCATGCAAGAAAATAAATTGTTCCAGATGTTCAGTACATAAGTACTCCCTTTTTGCCATGACAACTGCTCCTGCAGCAGAAAATATTAGGTCGCTAGAAAAATAACTGACAATGCAGACTTGGAAAAACGAAAACTAAAACTGCTCCTTTGTCATGAGCTAATACATATGTTTGCACGATTCTAACACACACTTTTTTTTCTCCAAAATCGTTGCCCAAAATTACATCGGCTTTACAATCGAAACCAAAAACTGAATAAGAAAAACGCAACACTCAATATAGATGCTTTACACACGTGCCAGATTACAGCCGCCATTGCTGACCTTCTCTTGCCTTACTGAGATACCGAGCCACTGAAACAGGTGTTGATGAGCTTGCACAAAGGCTAATACTGAGGAGAAGGAAACAATAAAATCTAAAATGGCGATGATCTGCCCTGCTCTGGTAATGATGAAGTGTAGTAAATGGAATAAGAGGAAACAAAAGCTGGAGATCGGTTGTGGCGGCAACCATGCACAGCAGCTGCAAAGAGTCTATAAAGTGGCTAGCCCCATCGCCATCGTGACCGTTTGTTTACATTCCCAATTTTGGTATCCGTATCACACGCATTTTCTTGCGTCTACGGAGATGAGATGAGTCTGCAGTTTTAAGATGGAAAAGCAAAAGAAATTCCACTAGGAGGCTTTATTTAAACGAAAGGCCATCACTCTGGAGGGAAAAGATAACAATGAAGCAGCAATACGTGGTCTCGCAATGCCAGCGACCTGCTTGGAAGACTACCTTCTCAGAGGAGACGGCCGCACACTCGTACAAGAGGAAAAAGTGTGGCTTTTAAAATGCTTTAAAAGAAAGCAAAGATTGTGGACAGCAAAGAACCATCACCGGACTCCGACAACAACGACTAGTGCACGGTGTTTATGTTTGTGTTGGTGTGCGTTTCATAAAATCTGTTCTATGAGGTATGCATTCAACTTTCATTATTTTACCTGCGCGGTAGAATAAGCAGCAATATACTTTTTGATTATCTGGTAGCTAAACCTGCCTGCACATTAGATTTAGGAGCACGTTAGAATCATGCAAACACGGCTGTTCTACGAATAACGTAAACGGTAAAGGTTTATAGGAAAAAGGCTACAATACCTGAAATTTTAAGCGACTAAAGACGGCTTTTAGAGGTACACCATGCGCTTTCCACTTTTCCTCCCTCCCTCTTTTCCCACATCCTCTCCACCTTTTATCTTGCCCAAACACGGCTCCCCTCACAGTTTAGGAGAGGAGAGCACTAACAGGATTATCTTCCCTGCAGAAGACCGAGGTTGTACGTCGGCCTTTAATGAAGCACTGAATGCTCAGGGTATGTTTAGCGCGTGGATTATTCGCTATATGCTTGGATATTCGTACATTGCCCAAATAGTCGGCCATAACTGAATATTCTGAAATTTCCAAATAAGCAATTCTCGAATCAAATATGAATCGAAAAAAAAAAATGTTTGATTCATATTTGAAATCTCGAATATTCGCACACCCCTAAAAAACTGGAATGATTTAGACCGAGGGCTCTCAAACTTTGATTTCGAGGAATGCCCATCTTTCTCGATTGACGATTGAAATCATTATTTAAAATCAACCGGATTCTTTTTTTCCATCCAGTTTACAGTGTATGCTTAAAGAAGTGAGAGCTCATTACACTCAGCTTGCTATAGAAGCCCCTGGGCATTGTGCAGAACGGCCCGTCTTTTCCCTTCGCATCAACGGGGCACAATCCAACAGTGCTCGAGGAAAGTCCTTTGGAAACTGCAACAAACCTGAATTTTCAAGGAGCCGTGGGGACTGGCCGAACGGGAGCTGGTCGGACTGGGGGGATGCATGCCAACGGTCTAACAGAGACGCAGGCCATGCATCAGGAACACTCCACAAGCCAGAAGCACTTTCAGGCAAAACAACACACAGGCACTGCGAGGTACTTCCGTCTAAGCGATCCTTTAAACTCCAGTGCCACAGCAAAGGCCGGAGGAGATTGACTATCTTTCTAAGGAGAAGCACTTGTAAAGGCTGGTAACATTTGACACCATCCAAACAGCCAGACTCGGAGGCGAAGCAGAAACCTAAAGGGGAGGTGCAACGTTTCTTAGTCTTTGGTCAACTGATTGCGGGAATTAGCCTATGTCACCCGTGGATTGAGGAACAGTAAACTGAATTTTCTTGCGTGCACTAGTTTTAATTTAAAACAAATTAAACAAATCGAACTTCGGGATACCCTTCAACTATCACACAGCCTTTCGAATTGCATCCCGGGAGGTATCTCGAGGTTTCCCGTCGAGTTCTGTCTTCAGGGCCCCCTGCGCTCCCTCTCGATTGTCGACTGTACAAGTTCCAATTCAGCTGCAATGGATCACCGCACTTGCTTAAGATCAACGAAGGTTGTAGCGAGTGATCGAGACACTAGACGGTTCGCCATGGAGACAACAGGGACATTAGCAGCAGAAAGGGAATGGTTATGTTCACTTCCGTTACATGGCACCACGAGAACTTGTGTACTCCCCATGACGTGACAACATGGTTCCCATATGATTGCCAGGTGAGCTGCAGATCGGGAAATAATGTGCTTTCTCCATTGCGTTTATGCAGCGAAATCACAGTATTTTCGGGGAAGGTGGCATGTTTTCTCTCAATTCTTTCAAGATAAACAATATAAAATATACAAGCTTAAAATCCTTTCAACATTAAAAACGTTGCACTGCCCCTTTAAAGAGATAACCCGGTTGTTCCAGCTAAAACTGGAGAAATTAAGTTACAGGCAAGAACAAAGGGGCTCGTAAAGCCCAGTTCAGTAATGAGCACAGCACTCTTCTCATGCTAAAGGTTAAATGCATGCTATTTGCAAAGCCATACTAAGACCTTTGTAAGCTTTGCCAACAGCAATAGCAGAAAAACAAATAAATAATTTCCATTACATTTTGCAATGTTGGGTGTAAAATACCACGTACGAAACATAACACATGAGCAACCACTAAAAATAAAAATATAATGTTAACTTTGTAACCTTTTAACTGGCAATGAAAAATGGTGCAAAACAAAATTATTCAAATCTTTTAAAGGAACAGCATAGAGTAAAGCAGTATTCTCACAAGGGAGAAATCTGCGGACGGACATGTCTGACAACAAGAGCCAACGCAACTCACTCCACGGCTCAACCGTTCACACAAATGGTGCTGGTGGAAGGGATGCCGGCGTTAGCGGATGAATTTAGCAGTCACAAAATATCACTCGAAGCATCCATGATCTGCCGCCAAACCAGGGCTTCTACTACCGAAGCCTTTCATCCACACCTCCACCGCATCGCAAGAGCATGATGTTTACAGCATCTGATGAGCACTCACGGGGGAAACCGACAGATTGCTCCCTTGTGCAAATACTACTTTAATAATAAACTAGTTGCGGACTTTACATTTTGCGAATCTTCAAAGTGCTTATTTTTTAACATTCAGCAGGAATGAAATTCCAGAATCGAAATCAACCAAACTGATCTCAAATTAACTAGTCACGGATGCCACGTGTAAGCTACTTCTTGCAAAGCAATTTTTTATGTTTTCAGCAAAAATTAAACCAGCACAAAATGCAAAATAATTTAGACTACTTAATTCAGAAGTGATTACAACTAAATCCCTAGTAAAAAAAAAAAAAAGAGCCATAGCTTGTGATAATCACCTATTCCACAAATAAATTAATGGAATAAAGAAATTTCATTCAGAAGTGTAAATATTGTCAACATAATTCTGATGAAGATATCACTTCACTTACAAGTAACGGCAAATAGATGTCACTTCATGTGAACAGGCCAAACAGATATCACTTCATTTGACCCTCAATCAAGGTACAGTAGGTGGCAGAAATTTCCTTTTTTTCAGAAACCTTTTTTGTACCAAGACGGTTTTGTCGGGTCTGGCGGAGTCAGAAACACATTTTCAGAGTGCACAGAAGAACACTTTACTTCCCTGCATGATAAAATTGTATAAAAAACGTGAAAGTTGTTGCACGCTTTTAGAAGTAGTCTTCCGTACCACCCTTTTGAAGTGCACTAGAACCCTGCAACATTAGGAGCAAAGCTACATAGCGCAGAACTTGCCACAGCAATTAATAATTTTCTTTCACCCTCACTGCACACAATCCAAATTGTGGCGAGGGTTGCCATAGGTTCAAGGAACAACCGAGCGACGCTTCAAAACCATTTTGCCCGGAGTTCACGACGCAACCCCACTCACAGTTGACGCCTCGCATGCGGCAGGAAGACGGCAAGGAGAGAAAAGGTCGGCCCTTTGAAACACTCACCGGTTCTTCCGTCGACGCATCTTTCTTCGAGTCATTCAACTTGCCGTCCTCAGTCTTACCATCGGGCCCAGGTCCGCACCGTGGGTGCCAAATGGCTCCTCCTAAAAGACAAAATTGAAGCTCCACAACGTCTGCCTACCACACTTCTCACTCGGCCAAAAAACGTAGCGCAGCCTTAGGCTAAGGCTACGCTACATTGCTAAGGCCCTTAGCTTCTGACGTGCCATAAGTAGGGTTCCGTGTTTTCGGGGTTTATTGTTCTTCAAATTCTGGCTTTTTTTTTTTTTCTCCTTTTCTTTTAGATTTGGTGTTTTGTGGTATAAATTTTTGGTTCGAGAGGAAAAACTAGTGGTTTGTGGGGAGTTATGTTAAAGGAAATAGGACACGCGTGGGCATGGGGTTCTCCAACTCCCAGGAAACTTATGCGTGACCCGATAACTTGGAAGACGTCCCCACCTTGAAAAGAAAAAGAAACGAGATAAGATATGTAAAAGACAAGAGTGTTGTTAAAGACCAACGTACAACCTCGGTTTTCTGCAGGGAAGATAATCCACTTGGCGCATCCCCTCTCCTAAGCTGAGAGGGGATCCAAGTTGGGGCAAGGTAAAAAGTGGAGAGGATATAGAAAAGGAGGAGGCGGGCAAAAGTGGAAAGCGCGAAGTGTACGCCGGCCTTTAAGGGTACTGAATATGAGGAAGGGACAAAGAGATGAACAACGACGACAAACAACAACTTCCAAATAGCAAAAAACATTTATTAACCCGAAGTCTGTATGTATAGGGTAGAGGGAGAGAAAATGTGTGGTTCCAAGGCAAGAAGAAGCTTCGCAGAGACAACACTGGGGGCTGTATTCCGGGTCAACACCGAATCATGCAGTAGACAAAAAATTTTGTCTGTGACGTTTGCGGTATTTTTTTTATTCCAGGACTGCTTTAATTTGGGCTTTCTGGTTATGCCCGATCTTAATCAAGCTGGCTCGGGGATTGAGTTTCGGGGTTCATTGGTATTTACCAAAAACATGGAACCCTGGCCACAAGAAAACTAAACAACACAACAGAAAGAAAAGAGTCTTTCTGTTCATCGTGGCTTCCCTAAATTGCTTAACCTTTCTTTATTCCCCATCCTCAACCTCTGATTAATTTCCACAACCTAGCTAAGAGGTTGAAGAGGCAACTTTTCAAATAAAGTGAGCGTCTGTGCGGGGTGGACCATACCTTGCAGGTACATCTCCTCGCCGTCTCCAAAGGGGTCGCCACATTTGGAGCACCGGGCACAGGTTGGATGAAAGTGGTGGTTATCTCCAGCCTGCAACACCAACAAAATGCTATCACGCAAGCAGGCACTTTATATCGAGAAACCTTTCCTGCCAAAAGCGTAACTAAGTTACTGAGTCGTTCAAGTCAGGAATCACTTACAAGGGTCGTGTGAAGGTCAGAGTAAACAAGAGGAAACTTCGAACTCGGCATAAATATATGTATAGGATGAATGAATGAAACATGTCTTTATTAAGCTTGAAAAAAATATATATACATGACCTCGTTACTTGCCATGCACACAGATCTAAATGTTGCAAAAACAGATATGGCACAGTGCTACATGAAAAGCATAATCAAAGGGCTTGGAGCAAGGCGGGTGTGCTTTACAGCAAAGAAATTTCACAATTTTATGCTTAACCTCCTTTTACAGGCATCCATTCCTTAAAAAGGCAATTACATTGAGCCTCTTTCCCTTCTCAGATGAATGTGCATACACTGTTTTATCGTAGCTTGGAAAATGGCGAAAGCTATGGCCCCAGCAAAGAAATTGGAGCGTCGGCACGTGACAATACACTGTCGGCGTGCGCTTTTCCTGTAGAGAAGTGTTACGTGCCTCGCTCTGTTGCTGTGATTGGCTCAGGGTCCCGTAGCATTCACTTTTTGCCAAGTTACGCTGAAACAGAGGACTATATCTTTGGTAGAACTGGATCTTCATGGGATCATTTCACATTTCTATCTATCACAGCTTTGGAGATTTTGAGGGATGGTAGGCCCATCTTGCTCCCCCGACCCTACAATTAAGAATTTACATTTAAAGAACATCCAAACGGCTGACCTCACCAGCACTTCCCAATTTTCAAACTGGGTTGTTAGGACAATTCAAACTGCAGTATGTTTTCTGAACCTAGACAAAAATGAAGTCCAGCAGCATCCTGTACTGTAAACTATACAAAGGCGCTCGTGGACATAGAACGAGATTAACGCACACCATTTCGCTTCTTTTTTTTTTTTTTTTTTCTTTTTTTACTTAACTGCTTGTTGGTAGTTCTGTTCCAGTGATATTGGGCACCTAAAGACAAACTCAATAAAGGAGTTGTGCAGTTACGTGCACAGGACAAGTTTGTTCAAATAGAACCAGCCGAAGAAAAATTGCCTACCTGTAAAACTTTGCCAGCGATGAATCGGTCGCAATGTGCACACTTGACGCCAAACTGCTTCTGATAGTCTTTTTCACAATAAGGTTGTCCCTCCCTGTGCAGGCAGAAAAGACAAAAGCTTGAAAAAGAAGCACAGAATGCAAGGGCACTAGGAACTTAAAACGGCCAGACTTGCCTGCCCATATATTCGCCGTGCAGCACGACGCTACAGCTCGTACACTTGAAGCACCAGATGTGCCACTGCTTTTCCAGCGCTATCAACGCCTGCCCTTCCCGCAAATCGTCCGCACAGCCGGCACACTCTGGAAATTTTGAGACAAGACCATGGCACCGACAAAGCTCATTTACCAGATTGAAAATGCGAAAATTAGAATGCGCCGTGCACCACATCCTCGCGAGATTTGAAATTGAGAACCCAATGTTTTTCTGCGCAACTTTTAGTTTAGCAGGTCTCCACTTAGATTTACATACATGTGGGGAATGAGTTATTGAATGTGCCTGCTACACAAGAACAAAAATAGCACATACACCAGAAAATAAGGCCCTGCGAGCGCATAAATGAGTGGAAGCTACGAATAAGATTGAATTAATTTGAACAATACCATGACTTGCTGAATATGAGAGAAAAAAAAATCGGCTCTTCCTGGCACTTTCCAAAGGCGTTCTAAATGCACAGCATTTATAGGACCTCTTCGCACTCCTCCTTCGCAAGCTCAGTAAGGAGGCCACTCAGCAGCACGTTTTGAGGGTTCTGCTAATATATAAAGCCATAACAGTGTCACGTGACGTCATGGTTTCACGTGAGACACAAAGTCACGGGACATCACAGTGTCATGTGACGTAACAATATCACGTGTCATCATGCAAGACTGTGACATCGTCGAGGCTACATGCCACCGACACAAAATCCCAGAGGCTGACCCTATAAACAGTTTGCATTTAAAACGCCTCGAACCCTAAGGGTCCCCTCGATGAATGACAATGCCCATACTCCTTCCTGAGCTTGCAGTTTAACTTGGCCACCCTCTGATCAGGTTGACAGGCAGTCTCGTATGGCCCTCTTGGCACAAATTAGTGCTCCCGCCAGCATTGTCTAAAACACAATGTGCAATGTGTTGAGGTCTCACAAGGACATAGCTCATGTACGTGAGAATGGTGCTGGCTATACCACAATGGTAAAAGAGTGCTGTCATGTTCCACTCACTGATGGTCCCATTCACTGGGGACTCCTCCATTGGCTGGGACGTCACAATGGGTATCTGAATGCACTTTGAACAAAGGCACTCTTTTCCAGTGTAGGTCACTTTTTCACCAGACGGAAACTGCTGCCTGCAAAAAACATTCCAACCAGAACCGTATTAGAGGAAACAGCGTCAATAGGTACACCAAGGAGACGTGAGATTTGAGTACTATTTGACCGCCGACAAGAACAATTCTGACTGACGTGGCTGCCCAGCCTACACCAATTTCTCAACTGCAGTTTACACAAAGCAACATACATGTGCTGAAGACTGCTGTTTCAGTTTGAAATTCTGAGGGTCATGACCAAAATCAACAAACGCCCCCAATGCTGCAGCTCAGACCCAAAGGCCACCGTCACAGGCTAAACAACTTCCTGATGCTAGCTAAGTCTAGCTTTATTTGTTTCTAAGCATATTTATTTGCCCATGTTAAGGGTGCCCCAGCTGCCAATTTCAAAACCACTGCCCGTGGAAAATGTTCGAGTTGCGCAACTTCCAAGCAAAAACTGCGATTCCTTTCAACTTTCTTTCCTTAAAAGGAGAAGACTGCAAGCAAGCTTTTCTTTGGAAAAAGTGCTGGGATTTTTTTATGCTTCATTTTTTAGAGAATGTGCAATATTTGCTCAAAATTAAGAATGTCATAATTCAGATTTCCTCTTTCTCCAGGAAAGACACATTTTTCTAGCCACTAAACTGAACTGCAGTCAGTCAGTTTGCTCATTCAAGGGCTCTGAAATTCGAAAATAAAAACAATTGGCTGATACACCTTTTTAAACTACTAAACAACTTCTCCATTTGTAGAAACACTGGCTCTCTACTGTTTCTCAGGGTTGGGCATGCAGCATGGAAACCATACCACAAGAATGAGGGCAAATTTAAACAAACCGAGGTACTCTAACGTGCAACCAAAATCTCAGTTATTGTGGCCCACACCATAATAAACCTCCGTCTAATTGAGGGGACTGCGGTCAAGATTCGAACCAGCCAAGTGAGGTTCATCGGATCCAATAAGAAGGCTAGTGTTCATTATCATTCGCAGTCATCAAGCTGATCATCTGGCATTCAACAAGTCATCGCCAAACTGAACATGCCATGAATGAATCATGGTTAACACAATTCAAATCCAGCACAATTATCCTAGTACTAATACATTTATTAACCAAATGGTTTGGTCGGATGCGGTCTGATAAACACGATATGCATGACTACCAGTTTTTGTTCTTGATAAAAGAGACAAAGCAGTCTAGCTTGGTTTTAATCATAATGGAATTCCATGACAGTTGCATGATGTTATACAATAGTTTTGCCCACACGTCCGTCTATAAGGGGTTAGGACAAATGGAGGATGGGGCATTTTGGGTCACATTCCAAACGTGTGCTTCCATCACGTTTTTGTGAATGTGCACATCTCTTCTAGAAAACAGCCTTTTCTCAATTATGTTTCCCTTTTCTTATTTTTACAAACTTAACAGGAGTCAAAATACAGACAATACCGTTCTTCAGCATTACAATGTGACTGGTGTGCAGAAATAAGATGTTTCGAATGGTTCTTTTGTTGTCAAACAATGTTTTCCAAAAACTTATTATTAGTCAAATATGAAAGAATTCCAAAAACTCTGCACCTCAACTAGCAAACTGAAATTTGTTTGAAGATATATTTCAGTAGTTACACCTGGCCTTATAAAAACAAACGACCTTCATTTGACTTTTGTATGAAGACAGCTGCACTTGGAAACTTGCCCAAATATGGTTTCAAATATGGTAACTGACTTCCTCGATAAAAATAACTTAATAACCGAGTTTCAACATGGATTTCGAAAGGGCTATTCAACAGTGACACAGCTAGTTACCACGGAGCACGAATTTGCCTCCACTTTGGATAAATCTGGTCAGATAGATGCCGTATTCATAGACTTCAGCAAAGCATTTGACAGAGTGCCACATGGTAAAGTGCTTTTTAAATTGGAAAGTATTGGTCTTGACTCAGCCATCATTAAATGGATCGGATCCTATCTACATGGTCGTAGACAGTATGTCGAGGTTGGTTCTGGTTGCTCAGAGATGCTTGATGTGACTTCCGGTGTACCCCAGGGAAGTGTCCTTGGGCCACTATTGTTCTTGATATACGTCAATGATATTGTTTCTGTTGTGGACCCAGGAGTGAACATTCGTTTATTTGCGGACGATTGTGTATTGTTCAAAGATGTTTTGTGTACTAATGACCAACTCGCACTTAACTCAAGCTTAAACTCTATACAAGACTGGTGCTACCAATGGAAAATGAAATTGAATCTCGAGAAAACTGTCTTTCTTAGAATCACAAACAAAAAGAAGTACCTCTCCTTTCAGTACAAAATAAAAGATTATAACGTCTCTGAGGTAGACCATTACAAGTATCTAGGGCTGACAATTGATAGGCATTTGGGCTGGTCAAAACACATAGACAACATTACATCTGCTGCTTTTAGAAAGCTAGGCCTCATTAGACACAAGTTGAAAAATACACCCCCTAACGTAAAATTGTTAGCGTTCAACACGCTTGTGAGACCTAAACTGGAATACGCCAGCGTTGTATGGGAGCCCTTTACCAAAAAAGACATAAATAAATTGGAAAGGGTTCAAAGACGGGCAGTCAGATTCATTTACGATAAGTTCAAGCGATCAGATTCTCCCTCCTCTCTAATGCAGATAAACAAAATTGAATTGTTGCAGGAACGAAGGCAAATAGCAAGGCTAAAGTTTCTGTTTCTTCTTGCAAATGATAAGCTATCTATTAATCGCCACGCATATCTAAAACCTATTGCTACGAGACAGACCAGACATCACCAACCACATTCACTGACTCCGTACTTTGCTCGCACCAATCTTTTCAAATTTTCCTTTTTTCCAAGAACAATCAATGACTGGAATTCTCTGCCCACTGAGTCACTTCCTTCTTCCTACCTCATGACCGTATAGGTTTTTACTGGTAATGTGTATCTTGCTCTTGGAGGCTTCTTGTCCTGTATTTTTGCATTTGTTATTTACTGTATATTTTAACCTAGTGGCCTTTTTTGATATCTTTTGTTGAAGACTGTTTTTTGTCGTGTATTTTACGATCTGTATTCACTCCTGCTTGGACCATTTAGGTCCGCAGTATGTCATAAATAAAAAATTAAAAAAAAAGTCAAGCTGATCTATAGAGCACAGAGTGCCGGGCAAAATTAGACAGAACCAGCAATTTGGGTCTGAGCCACTTTGGCAGCAGCTCTTGAGTTCAGTGTCAATTTGCAACAAAAAAATCAAAGTTGAAGGTAATCTCACATTTCAAATGGTGACATACACCTGGGATAGTGCAGACCTTGGCTTGCGGCACACAGAAACCCGTCTACCTGTTTACGCTCACAACAGACCCTTCACAAAAACTAGAGAGTGACAAGGTGCCCATTTCTCTGTACCCTTGAGAGATATTTGAGACTGTAAGTGCCGCCTTTTCATAATAACCAAGCTTTTGACAGTGCACCGCATACCTCTTCGTCTGATAAGGAGGTACATACCGACATCTAGCGCAGACAAAGCATTTCTGGTGGTATGTATTGCCCAAGGCAGTGACAACTTCACCCTCCACAAACTGCCCGCAGCCAGCACACTTGGTGCCAAACATCTTTTGGTAGTCGCCAGTGCAGTAATATTTGCCATCTTTGAAGAAGAATCCTCCCTGAGCCAAAGAACTTGTGCACACTGAAAGTAGAATGAAAACAACATATTTGCATCAAGATACAGCTAGATTGAGTACAACATCCTTTGAAGGAAGCATGCGCATATACTTTCTTGTGCAGTACACAAAGAACCAATCAGTATAATCTATAATAAGAAGAACAAGAATAAGAAGGCAGAGAATGTTCAGACTCAAAACAGTGACTCAATCAAGGACTCTGAGCATGCCGTCAGCACACTCAGAATCCCATCACAGCCCGCATTCTGGGGCCCAAATGTCCTCTGTACTGTATGATTAGTTGGCCTCTTTTTGAAAACCACAATGATTGGTTAACATTGCCAATCATCAGCCAAGTATGAATAGCAGATTTTGAGTTCCAAATTCGAAGCAAGGAGTGGTTCTGAATCGAATATCTAATAGTTTCTCAAAGTCTTCCACTACTGTGCACTATGCTTCAACATAAATTTAGCTGAAGTTGTGAAGGTTGTTTCCAACCTTCCACTTGTGCACTTCTAAGTTCAGTTAATTTTAAGATAACCATATGAACCGTGGCATGTAAATGAGAGATTTGTCACAGCCAGCCTAATCAAGGGGATTTATAGATCTGCTTGCTATATGCAAATATTTTTTCTTCGATTTCAAATTTGAGGCAAAAAAAACAACACGAATGATGAATGCGGGCTGTCAAGACATCGCTACCTAACATGCTCTTGCATAATTGCGTCAGGTTAGCCCCGTTAAGTGTGCTTCTCACCGAGCACCAGTGCACTGCGAGGAGACAATACCCGTGAAGCTAGCTTCGTTGGGTGCGCTTCTCACCGAGCACCTGTGCACTGCGGGGAAGCAACACCCGCAGAGCCCACGAGCTCCGTAGGTACTGCTTCCCCGCAGTGCACAGGTGCTCGGTGAGAAGTGCACTTAACAGGACTAACCCGCCACGATCAACACCTTGAAAAGTATGAACATTGCAGTTCACCTCGAAGCAAATATCAAATAGTGTATTACTCGAAACTACTATTCTAAGATTCAAATATTCGCACAACACTGCCAGTCATTATCATATTGCAACAAAATGTGGCACAAAAAAGAAAAACACAGGTGCCATAGCCTCGGGCTTAATATTTAAGACTTGCATGAGGTCACCTGAGTTCCAAACATTTCTGTGATGATTGGCTCTTAGCACGTTGAGCGAAAAAATAGTGTTTGTGGGCATTGTTCATAAAAAGAGTATGTATAACTAGATTCAAGTAAGAATATCTGTAAGCCCAATCTGCTTTCAAATAGGGCCTTGATGCATGTGTGCCTGCGATCACAAAAGGAATGTTACTGCAACATCTTCTCCAGTCATAAAGAAAAAATTAAAAGTGCATGTGATTTCCTCAACTTGGTCTTTGCTTGCCAGTGCACCTTCAGCGAATGTTAGCTATATTCTTGTAAATGGATTTGCACTAAAGTTTTTGACATTTCACTAATTAAAACTATGCTTCCTGTAACTGTAGGGAATTAGTGCTCCTTTTTTTTAATTAAGTAATTAATTTAGTAATATGATTAGCCTTAAAATATTTGGTGAACTTCATGAAATTATGGTGTTTCAGTCATTTTTAAAAAAGAAATCACTTTAAAAGTTATTAGTTCTAAAAGTAGCAACAAGCTCAATTAACAGTTATTGTCCCCTATAAATTCTGTAAGAGATATTCACGATAAAATTAACTGAATGAATTCACTCAGAAAATACATAGTAATACGGACCTAAACACCCAAACAGATGCCGTAGTTTTAGATTTCTCTGAAGCATTCGACAGTGTGTCAAACTGTTATCTAATATCTGAACTTTCCTCGCTTCACAATGACAACTTAGCCCCTTCCCTGACCTGCAACTTTCCCTCCCCAAGGCAGCAGCCGAGAGCAATGGTTGTAGTTTTTAATTCTATGCTTACTGCTGTAACCTCTGGTGTGCCACATGGAACTGTCCTCGGCTCTCTTATATTCCTAACCTATATTAACAATCATCCCCAGTGAAGAACATCATATGTGCATTGTTTGGGCAATGACTGTGTAGTATACAGAAAGATCACCAGTCATGTCGACCACTTGCGCCTTCAAAACGATATTGGCCAGGTAATTCATTGATGCTACAAATGGTGAACTGAGAACTTTTTCTTTGGCTGCCAAACCAGAGCCGTAATGCCACATATGGAGATCAGGCGATCAAAAGTCGCCGCAACAAGAGGAAGAGCACTTTGCCACATCACTAGCGGGCATGAAAGCTATTAACAGTGAGAACCCACCACCTCTCTCCGCTGGATATTATAAGGTCAATAATCCGAAGACGCTTTAAGTGGCATCATAGCACCCACAATAGCAATTCTAATATAAAATTCAATCAATTTCCACACCACAATGTTGCTGCAGTCTCTTGTCAATGCTCGATGCTGATGCGAGAATTTTACAGCGAAGCTGTATATGGCTAGGGTTCCATGCACTTTTGGTATCCGTGTGCAGAAACAAAATCGCATGTAAAAGCGCTCCATTGTATGAAAATGCACATACGCCCCGTCACCTCGATATGCATTTTGATAAGAAAAGACATTGAAACGTGTGATAATGAAGATACATCCGAGAACAATGGGCCTTCTCCCGCTCGAGTTGGGCGACGTCACAAAGCAGCAGCTTTTATATATGTAAAGCATTATATGTATAGATTTAACTTTAGCAAAGAATCTCACCAAAGTTGTAATGGAACCCATTAGTGTATAGCATAGTGATCACAAAGCAATCATCACTACCGTTTCAAAATGATGTACAGCTGCAACGGAAAAAGAGTAGCACAAGTGACCGACGACCGAAGCGGCAAAATCGCGACACGCGGCGCTATTGTTCCCGAGCGCGCCGATAGAGAGAGTGCCAGTCACGTTCCATGTCTCAACGGAGGGGTGGCCGGCAAAAAACAGCCCATCCTAAAGCCCTCATTTTAACAGCTATCTTATCTCTCAATTTTCTGCCGGCCACCCCCGCGTTGAGACATGCAACATGACTGGCACTCTCGCTATTGGCACGCTTGGGAACAAGAGCGCCGCGTGTCGCAATTTTGCCGCTCCGGTCATCGGTCACTTGTGCTACTCTTTTACCGTTGGAGCTGTATATTGGGTACTGTAAATGAACATTTGGTGAAGTGCTTTTGTGTGTCTCTTGGTGAATCATTTGTAGTGGTGCTCTTCAGCTTCACTCGACAACCACCTTCACAAAAGTGGAATGGCTCACAATTTTCTTCTTTTTTTTTTTTTGCAATGATTCACACAAACTATAATTTAGGAATAAATTGAAAATGCAAATGATTGTTGCAGTCACCTTAAGAGTTGACCAAGAAGCCAGCATCCAGCAAGTTCTTTTGAGTTCTGGCCCCAAGACAGCAGTTTGATGCTTACAGTATCTTTTTTTTTTTTTTTTTTTTTCTTCACTAGCTCTTTAGCATTACACGGACTATGGCAATTTGTGGCCTGTTTATAAGCGAGACTTGTACGCCTTTTTTCACAGCGGGTCACATAAATCAGTCCTTACAAACAGCAGAAACTGCCCAATGGATCACAAAGCACAGAAAGTATTTTGTCCCAAAAATTCTACTTTCACTTTATTCTGGATGTATGAAACAAGCTGCATATTAAGCATACACAGCATTTTGATGCAAGAATCAGATCTGATTCATCATTCACTAGGCTTCGTCTAATGTCCCAGTCATTGGCTATGAGTGTGCTCTGCAGAAAAGGAGGCAATGCTATAGGTCATTTGTTTAACCCTGCATATGGGTGATTTCACCTGAAGTCAATCAAAATTTTAATTCTGACAAAAAAAAATATAGATTATGTTTTGAGGGCACATCTAACATAAATGATAGCGCAAATTATCAGCTGGGCAGATTCTTCGTTTTCCAGTTATGATTTATTTAAAGGGGCATTGCAAAAATTTTAACGCAGAAAGAATTTGCAGCTTGTATTTTTACATTGTTTATCTTGGCAGAAGTGAGAGAAAATGTGCCACCTTCCCCAAAATATACTGTGATTCCGCTGCGTAATAGCAAAAGAAAAAAACATAATTTTTCTCGATCTGCAGCTGCATATGGCTGCAGAACCACTGTGTGACATCATTTGGAGTGGACAAGTTTTCGTAGCAGCATCTAGTGGAAGTCAACAAAACCATATACTCTCCGTCACCGCCCTTCCCATCTTTCCAGTGCGAACTGCCTTTTGTCTCGATCGCTCCCCGCGACCTTCAACGATGTTAAGCAGGTGCGGTGCTCTATTGTAGCGGAACCGGACCTTGAAAAGTTGGCAATCGCAGAGGGAGGGCTGGGGGCCCCAAAGATAGAATCGAACGTGGTCGAGCAACCACATTTGGTTTTAATTAACGAATTTTAATTTGAACATGAAATATTGAATTAATATGCTATTAAAATAACTAATTTTGAGCTTTCTGGTAATATCAAGGACCCTCAAACATCTTATATAGATCATACGCATGAACTTGCCAAACTTTGCCAATAATCATTAAAAAAAAGATTTTTCCACATTTTTGTTTTTAACATTTTTAACATACAACATCTTGTTTAAAATTAATTTAGCATAATGAAATCTATTTTGAGGGTGTCAGAGAAGAGTCCAAGTGCAATATCTTGAGAATTGATAAAATAGTGAGCGGTCAAACATTCCATCCCCAACAGGCAGGAAGTGAGACAGTTCCCGCCTCGGTCGCTTCCATTGTCCAAACCTTGATAACAAAAATCCGCCAGCACTCCGGCTACTTTTATTCAATAAACGCACCAAAAACATTTTTTTTTTGTCAAAATGAAAACTAAAAAAACAATATAAAAAAAAGGAAATTTGAAATGAAAATATACCTTAGAAATAATTTTATCAACTGCGGTGGACATCGCGGCACGACTAATTGCTTCTTGGATCTTCCTTTAAGCTCGCATATCTCAATTAGACATTTGCAGCAGCCCCCAGCGTTGGCATGGGTAGAATAGAGAGAATAATTTCCTACTTCTAGTTATGAGAGAAATTTATGTTTTGAAGGCAGTACGGTAGCAAAGGTGCAAAAGAGCAAAGGAAGACCCGCCTCGAAGAGATGTCGGAGGCTGCTGCGGGAGCAGATGGCAAGTGATTGCATTTCAATGGGGCAGCGGCAAATTATCTCTAGGTCACCTGTTCTGAGAAAAGATACGTCAAACTGTGATGCGCCTTTGGGGCGGGCCAGTTGGACAGCCCAAATGTGCCACAAAAATCTCAAAGAATAATTTTGTTTTCTAAACTCTAGAAGCTGCCCCCAGCCCATGTTGGAAAAAAAACTGCAAATCTCACATTGTAAAAAAAAAAAAAAATCTATTAAATAAAATGAGTTAAACAATTATTTGGTGAAGGTGAAGGTTCATAGGTCACTATTTAAACCTTTACACTAGTGCCCCAACGACCGTACGTTGTGGTTAATAATTCAGTATTTTCAGTCTTTGATTAGACACCATGTATACTACTTTTCCTACGTGGCATCGTTTACTTGCCATAAAAACTCACCAGCACACTTGAAGCAATCGACGTGGAAGTAGCGATCCTGGACACGCAATGCGTTTCCCGAGCATTTTTTCTTGCACAATTCGCACAAAACTTTCCCTGCGAAAGAAATAAACAAACAACATTTAATCCCGTGACGACTCGGCTAATAAAAAGGTTGAAGAACAAACTATATCTCTCCAATAATTATTGTCAAATTAAAAAAAAAACAATACTACATCAGTACAAATGCATAAACCGCACCGCCATTTGCCCAGACATCTATCTACATGCATCGGCACAGAGTAACCATTTTTCTTTTATTACTACACGTGTATTAAAAAGTTCAAAAGAAAACTAAAAAAGAGAGAATGCCCTGCTCATGGTCATTCTATTTATGGACACACATCTGATGTCCCAAATTATAACAGGGAAAAGTTTTTTTTTTTTTTTTTTTTTAACTTTTATTTATGTTTTTGAGGAAGCAGAAATTTGTGATCCCAAACTTTCAACAGCATCAAAAACTTTTAAGTGGCTCAATACACCGTGGACATTCCACTTCACAACACATGAAGGAAACTGGACTGTATATGAAATGAGCCAAGTCTGCTGCACACATGCAGCTGAAATGACAGCACACTTAAATTTGTAGAAGCATGAGCTCCATGCTTCAGAAAGCAGCTGCACGAACACTCACAAAGCAGAAGCGCCTACCAAAGCTACCCACTCATGTTTGTATACCTTGCTGCAGTGCATGTTAGGGTTTATACAAGTTTGCGATGCTTGGACCCCAAATCTCGCCCCTCAAGCAGTGGCAGTGCTAAGTACTTTTTTTAAAGTATAGAACAATACTGTAGCACCTCTAACTTTGTTATATTTTTCGAGTAACTGGCACAAAATGCTCCAAGCATGCACAGGAGCAGTCCTACAGGGTGTTTCTCGGAATGTGGGCCAAATCGCTGCTGCGAAAAGTATGTATTGCACAGAAAAGGTTGATGCCTTACGGGTTTTTGCCCAAGTCCCGTTTTAGGAAAATTATAATTGCTTGGTATAATTATATCTTAATCATTTTCAAGCAATTAACTTCATACTTTGTAAATTTAAAGGTATGGTTTCAATTAGAAACTTCTTAGAAACCAGTAAATCAATGCACTTTACGAAAATGTAAAGCATGCAAAGTATTTTACAGCATTCCAAAAAAAGAAACGCTCAATTTGGACGCGTGTAGTCTTTAAAAGCTCTATAAAGTGCCTCGTATTGAGCATCTGAAACCTCCGGAATGCCGCGGAAGCTGTTGTAAGTTTCGGTTTCCCAGCAATACACACAGAGTATGCAACTAATGTGTGCTGCCACGCATTCTTAGCATGATGGAGGTGAACCAAAGAATCGAAACGTACTCTTGCAATGTAATTCGAACCTCACAGCGCTCCTTTTCGTTGGCACATAATTTCTTCTCTTACGTGGAAGGCAAGGCGGTAGTTGCACGATTTGGCTCACGGGTAGCAGGACCGCTTGCACAAAGACTTTATGGTTTTTCTTGGAAAAACCATAAAACGCTGGGCATGCCTTACATTTTTGTGAAGTGTGCTGATTTAACAGTTCTCGATGATACACAGATTGTTTCCAACTGAAACCATACTTTCAAATTACAAATTAAAAGGTTAATTACTCGTAAATAATTAAGGACCTAATTAACCAAATGCTATTAAGTTTCTAAACAGGCCCTTTGGCACAGATCAATGATATCAGCCTTTTTAATTATCATGCATACTTTTTGCAGCAAGCAATTTAGGCTGCGCTCTAAGGAACACGCAATGCTTCAAGCATGGACATTTATTTACCCCATGCACTGTTCAACGTTTATGGATAAACTGCCTCACAATGCACTACAAGCAGCGAGTCGAATTAAAAGGGGGTGAGACTGAACGTTTTCCGCCACCGGAAAATGAACGGCAGGATATTGGCCATCACAGCTCTTCGGAAGCAATCACAAAGTAACTTCGGAAATTTCTTTTTTAATAACAAAGGTATTCTTAAAAGAAAATGCTCACACAGTCAAGTATTTTGCTTTCTTCTAACCATAAAAAATGGCATCTCTAATATCAGGATTATTGAAAGCCGAGCGTGTTGGTAAAGTTCATATACACACGAAAGAATTAACACATAGAACACATAGGTCCTACGTGCTTAGTATCAGAATTTAACACCTCCAAAAAAATTAACTTGCGTTAAACTTTTTTTTCTTGGGGTTAGGTTAGCCATTAGCTTAGCCCCAGGGCTATTTGGGGGCCACTAGAAGAGATGAAACTGATTAATTAGAGAGCTAAAAAGTTTTGACAAACTTGTACAATTTTCAGTTTTTTGGGATGTACAATTTTCAGTTTTCTGTAAATGGAGAATTGACTCCTCATTAAAAATTTTGCAGTGGGTGCTAGTGGACGAGTGAAATGTGCGCTTTGGAAAGAAAAAATAAATATGGCGACTATTTTCAATATGCATCGAGTACGAGCCATGAACAAACCTTCAAATAGCAAGAAAACAATGCCGCAAAATATTATCGGGACCTTTTTGTCTTGGGCATATGCAAGATCCCCAGAGCAACAAGGCCCCGCGGGCACGTCAGCTGTCGCCAAATGTCGCGCCACCGCCGACTTCGGTGGGAAACGGCCCAGGCGCGGGGGGTGCGCCAGCGCCGGGGGTCAGACGGGAAAGGTTGCCAGCGACAGGTCCCGCCCAGCGACGCTCACGTCGTCATCGATCGCCGGCCCCAAATATGCGGTCGCGAACAAAAGCTGGGTCGCAGACGCGCGCCCCGTCACAGTTTCGGTTGGGTGTCCCTCGAAAGGAGGCTCGCACTGGCAGCCGGTCACTATGGCAATCGCCGAACGGGTTCACGGGGACGACGTGTGGCGTGCTCGGGGACGACGTCCGAACGCGACGAAAGAACCAGAGTGCGCGGGAACGCCCGAGCGGAATCGGGGCAAAGAAGGGTTCGAGAGTGAATCCGAGATGGGGAAATGCCTTCTCAAGGTCATGCCACCGGCGTTGGTCGATCCAACTTGCACGTGCGGCTCCTCGTGCCCACTAGCGTGTACGCTGAAGAATACAAAAAAACCCGCTTAAAGGAAAAAAAAACACAAGCAGAATACGCCCATAATGGCATCATTGTAGAGCGCCGCAGCATATTGAGAAGCGCTTATCATTGGGACTCTGCATCCCGATGATCCACCATCGAAATGTCGACCGACGCCAGCCTATTTGTATTTTTGGTCGTTCCACGCTCTCTTCTCCCTTTCGTCGTTTCACCCATTGCTTACTTTCATTTGCTTCTCCTCGAGAGCCACGATGCCGGGTGTCTGCCGCACGGGACTTCGCACGGGGATCGCGTGTCACTTCCGCGAGCGTGTGTGGTTCGTTACCTCGTCCTCGGGCTATCCTGTGCCACCATAACCTGCTCGCGTGTTTCCATCTTTCGGTGAAATAAGTTTAAAAAGTAAAGTCCACACATCGACGCTCTTATGTTAATTTAAAAAGAAACTCCGCTCAATTCCGAAAAATTTAGGCTTACATGTGATTCCATTTCACAAAGCACTACTAAACAGCTCTACGTCCTCGGATTCGCGAAATGTGGAATATTATTTGTGTAATCTTAATTTAATCAGCTGATACCGAAACCGAAACTTCGGTTACGTCAGGCAACATTGGTCTCGTGCCGTCAGAGTCATGGCCACGTCACGTCGAACCACGTGGTCTTTTGACTAAGGTTGAAGCCTGGGTGAGTTGGTGTGACATACTTAAAAGGTTAAAACAGCGCAAAAGACAACGGACAGGGTAAAGAAAAGGTCTTGTGACGTTCGTGGGGGCGAGGGACAGGACACGCGACGCGGGCAGGTCGCTTCGCATGGCGTGGACGGTGATGGCCCGGTACAAGTATTTTAACACAATCGTTCATGATGCCCTTTCATTCCCCTATACAGCGATTTTTTAACTGGTATGCATTGCCCAAAGGTAATCAGGGTTGCATGACCTATTTCCAAAAAGATCGGCGAATATTTGATGAAGTGGCCACATAGTACTTATTTTCAGGAATTGAGATAAATTCCTAATAATCACTGTATAGCGATTTTCTTGCACTTGATTGTTGCACCCAAGGTGGACGTACTAGGAGAGAGCATGACGTAAGCCCTGTAGCTTCCGCAAGCAATCCTCTTATAGAAAAGTGTATTCTCCTTAATGAAAAAAAAGACAGTGAGTGTGCAAGCGAGCTAGGGATAATCAATCATAATGTGACACCTGAAATTGGGGTGCGAAAAAATTAAGGGACTTTCAAGTCGAAAAAAAAGACAAAAGATAATGTCTCAAAACATTGTGACGTTCTCCTTTGTTGTCTTTTTCTTCGACTCGAAAGTTAAAATTTTTCCGCACCACAGACTCAGGTGCTACATCATGATTAATTTTGCTCGCCTAATATTTTAAACCTCCTCGCTCGCACTGACCGACCGAGAAGTAGCGAGAGTTCAAAAAGCTAAGGGAAATCCGCCCCCAGAACGAACGAAGCGATGCGTCGTCTACTCACGTTTCTGGTAAAAGTAGAATATCCCTCCCAGTAATTCTTCGGAGAAAACAAAGCATCGTTTCGTGATACAAATTTAACAAAACCAAATTTGGCGAATGTATGTTGAAGTCCGGAATTGTACTGTCCTCGGAAAGTACCATAAAGAAAAATACTTCAAGTACAAGTACATACTGAGAGAATGTACTTCAAGTAAGGTACAAGTTTCCTAAACCTACTTGGGGAAATAGCTTTCCCACTTTCCCAACACTGTGTGAAGCTTAAGCACTCTTGTGCGCAGCAAGGACGAGGACAAAAGGGAGCTGCGCACAAGATTGCATAAGGTGAAAAACCAAGTCGCCCAAACAAGCACTCTTCGTGTGAAGCGCCTGCGCCATGCCGACACCAGCGCCCCCGCAGCAGCGTAATGTCATACAGGGCCGCGTGTTGGTGCACACCCAAGAGGAAGGCTCTTTTTGTTTCCCGCGACAGAGATGCCGGGCCCCACAGCTCGTCGCTTTCTTTCGAGTGGTGCCGTCGTGCCCGTCGGCGTTTCCCTCGCG